TTCAAAATAATATTCAAATTAAAAAAAACGACGCGGGTGTCTCTTAAATTTTCCATACGACTCTGCATTTTAGCCAGCAACCGACCAATTTTTTTATTAACGTGCGCTAATTTAAATTTATTGTCTTTTTTTTTAAAAGCTTCAACGCCAGTCTCAAAAAAAAGGACTCGGAATTCTTCGAATGATTTTTCAAACTCTGCTCGTTGTGAGTCGTACAATTTTTTTGACTCTTCGCTGACTTGGACTAAATCTTTTTTTGAACTCTCCAAAGAATTTTTGACTGTTTCAAATTCATTCAATACAGCTTCATACCTAATATAAGCAGCGAGAAGAAATAAAACTAGTCATGTAATTGTAAAAATATTAATTTTTTTGGGAATTATTTACAAGTGAAGTCCCCTATTTTTATTTTTATTTTTTCGAACGAAATTTTTAATTGATTTTATTGATATATTTTTTTTTTTTGAAAAATACATAAAAAAATGAACAATTAAAAACAAAAAAACAAAGTTGACAATCACAATTTTAACAAATTTTCAAAAAAAATTATAAATTTTTTAGAAAATTGTGATATTCAACTTTTATTTTTGAATTGTTCGTTTTTTTATGTACTTTTCAAAAAAAAAAAAATATATCAAAAAAAGATAAAATAGAAATTTTTTTACCTATGATCAGAATGAATAGTCGAGAAGATATTTGATTTCTCAAAATAATTAACAAACTTTTTTTTCTTCAAAAAATCCCGGGACTTTTTGTGAAGAAAACTATTTTTCCACTTCAAATATTTACGCTCTTCCCAGATTTTTTTTATCTGAGCTATCATATTCAATCTTGGAGCATTTGACAATTCAATTTTTTCTTCTTCAGTATTTTCTACAAGATCTGAATTTTTTTCTAAAAAATTAATATTATTTTCACCTACTTCTTCATCTCCGGAATGAAATTTTTTTTCAAAATTAATTTCTTCATTATTATTAATATTGAACCTAGATCTAACTAAATTATCATTAGATGTAACTAAACTTTTTATTTCTTCTTCATTGTAAGCTTCATTTAAATCCTTCGAAGAGTCAGCTTTAATAGACTCACCAGACATCTTCTTAAATTTAATAATTCATCAAATCAACAATACGAACCTCGGTAATAAATTTTCATTTCGAAGAAATGAATAAATTTTATAAGAAAATGTAAAACAATTTACACGTGTAAATAAAAAATAAAAAACAATCTGAAGTTATTCATATACAAATAAATATAATTTTTATAATTATTTATTTGTGAAAAGAAAAAGATGCAAAATTTTTACAAAAAACAACTTTAAATACCTAATTTATGTAATAATTTTTAAATATTATTACTTTTAAAATAAATTGAAAATTTCAAAAATATTTATTTATTTTTTAAAAAATATTTTTAAATAAGGTAAAAGACCCAATTATTGACACTTGCAATTTTATTCTAATTAAAAAAAAAAAATGATTTAAAAATTATATTTATTAATTTATTAAAGTTGAGATTTTTTTTTAATTAAAATAAAATTGCAAGTGTCAATAATTGGGTCTTTTACCTTATTTAAAAATATTTTTTAAAAAATAAATAAATATTTTTGAAATTTTCAATTTATTTTAAAAGTAATAATATTTAAAAATTATTACATAAATTAGGTATTTAAAGTTGTTTTTTGTAAAAATTTTGCATCTTTTTCTTTTCACAAATAAATAATTATAAAAATTATATTTATTTGTATATGAATAACTTCAGATTGTTTTTTATTTTTTATTTACACGTGTAAATTGTTTTACATTTTCTTATAAAATTTATTCATTTCTTCGAAATGAAAATTTATTACCGAGGTTCGTATTGTTGATTTGATGAATTATTAAATTTAAGAAGATGTCTGGTGAGTCTATTAAAGCTGACTCTTCGAAGGATTTAAATGAAGCTTACAATGAAGAAGAAATAAAAAGTTTAGTTACATCTAATGATAATTTAGTTAGATCTAGGTTCAATATTAATAATAATGAAGAAATTAATTTTGAAAAAAAATTTCATTCCGGAGATGAAGAAGTAGGTGAAAATAATATTAATTTTTTAGAAAAAAATTCAGATCTTGTAGAAAATACTGAAGAAGAAAAAATTGAATTGTCAAATGCTCCAAGATTGAATATGATAGCTCAGATAAAAAAAATCTGGGAAGAGCGTAAATATTTGAAGTGGAAAAATAGTTTTCTTCACAAAAAGTCCCGGGATTTTTTGAAGAAAAAAAAGTTTGTTAATTATTTTGAGAAATCAAATATCTTCTCGACTATTCATTCTGATCATAGGTAAAAAAATTTCTATTTTATCTTTTTTTGATATATTTTTTTTTTTTTGAAAAGTACATAAAAAAACGAACAATTCAAAAATAAAAGTTGAATATCACAATTTTCTAAAAAATTTATAATTTTTTTTGAAAATTTGTTAAAATTGTGATTGTCAACTTTGTTTTTTTGTTTTTAATTGTTCATTTTTTTATGTATTTTTCAAAAAAAAAAAATATATCAATAAAATCAATTAAAAATTTCGTTCGAAAAAATAAAAATAAAAATAGGGGACTTCACTTGTAAATAATTCCCAAAAAAATTAATATTTTTACAATTACATGACTAGTTTTATTTCTTCTCGCTGCTTATATTAGGTATGAAGCTGTATTGAATGAATTTGAAACAGTCAAAAATTCTTTGGAGAGTTCAAAAAAAGATTTAGTCCAAGTCAGCGAAGAGTCAAAAAAATTGTACGACTCACAACGAGCAGAGTTTGAAAAATCATTCGAAGAATTCCGAGTCCTTTTTTTTGAGACTGGCGTTGAAGCTTTTAAAAAAAAAGACAATAAATTTAAATTAGCGCACGTTAATAAAAAAATTGGTCGGTTGCTGGCTAAAATGCAGAGTCGTATGGAAAATTTAAGAGACACCCGCGTCGTTTTTTTTAATTTGAATATTATTTTGAAGAAATTAAACGATGAACTTTCTAGAATTAATATTCTAGGTGAAGGTTACACCGTGTCAGAGTACGAGAATTTATCAATGATTAAAGATTCTCATGTGGAAATTTTCAATAAGCGAGAGAAAAAAATCGAAAATCATCACAATAAATGTGTTGCAATAATTGACGTAAGTACTGACGATATTTTTTATTGTTGGTAAATTGTTTTTAAATAGATTGTTTTAAAATAGATGTTATCAAAAGTCAAAGAACAATTACTGAGTCTAGATAATGATATTTTGATTTATAAAAACAAACTTGGAGAGTTGGAAGAAATTAAAAATAAATTGCAAGTTGAATTTAATAAGCTGAGACGTCAAAAAGATGCAAAGAGAAAAAAAATATCATCACTGCAGCGGAAACTTTTCTCTATTACTCCGGAGTTGATCAAAGAAATGTCAAGCCGCGGGGCTGAATACGTGAAGCTTAGGTCTAGAATACAGAGCATGAAAGAAAGCGATGATTCATTTATTTAAAGTGTTTTAATAATAAAATCTTTTATGTTTGAGCTAATAAGAAGGTCAATTTTTTGGATTGCTTCTTTCTTTTTCTTCTTGGTGGGTCAGGCTTTATTTTTTCAAGATTTCGGTCGTCTTGAATTAAAATTGAATTTTTAGGCACTCTGTAGGCGACTGTTCTTAATAGTCTGAAGTCGTTGACAATGATGATGCGAAATATGAGGAACGCCAAGCCGCTGATCCAACTCCAAACCATTCCAGACATTATAAGCTGTAAAATATATATTATTTATAAAATAATAATTTTTTTTTTTTAATTTATGACACTTGACAATTTTTGTCTTTAAAAATAAACTAGGACAAAAAAAATATTTTTGAAAAATTGTAATTTTTTAGAGCTGCTATAGATGAAAATTTTTTTTTTTGCTTGTAATTAATTTGTTAAAAAATTATCAGATGTCTTTCAATTTCAGTATGATTTAAATACCTGAAGAAGCTCTTGAATTTTACATAAATTGTGAGATGTATTGAAGTTAAATATTTCTAAATAATGAATTGCTAATTCACAATCACTGAAAAAATTTTCTCGTTAAAATTTTCAATTGATTATGAATAAAAGAAAAAATTAAAATTATTTACAGGGGATATTTAGCCATTTCCGTGACATTCATATACTTGGCAGAGACTAATTTTAAATTTGCTGTAAAACTTTTGAATCCTTGATAATAATCATAAGTAGCTTGATAGATTACTACCGTGAAAATAACTTGAAAAATTAAAACTGGTGGAACTATCAGCCATTGGGCTCCAAATCTGTTGCATAAATATAAAAATTAATAATCTATATTATTAAGAGAATAAGCAAAATTTTAGATCAGTGTATTAATATGATAAAATGGGTTTTTATAATTTAATTTGGTATCATCAGAAAGGTCTTGATAAGAATTATTGCCTTTTGGTTTTATATATTTTTTATTTCAAGTTTTTGGAGGAGTTTTTATTGGTTTTTTTTTTGTTCTATAAATTTGTTGGGTCACATTTGTCCATTAAATTATTTGTAATTGATCCTGTGATAGCACTATTATTTTTAAAATTTATTTAAAAAGTACCCAAACTATGTACAGTGTGATAAATATAAAAAAATTATTAAGTAAAAATTTTCTTATTAATAATTCGTAATTCTCGGCAATCACACTACAGTGACTGCAAGTTGCTAGTTTTTAATGATTTATCATATTTATTTAAAATAAATAAACTTACATTCCTGTAGCACATCTAGCAAATAACATACACCAGATAATTCCGAAAGAACACGAGCACAGACAAACGAAATGAAAATACTGGCAATGTGTTTTGTATAAAAAAGTAATCAGCACTTTAGACCTCCAGTCAGTAATTATATCTTCATTATTATTATTATTATTATTATTATTATTATTGTCATTTATAATTGAGCCATCCATGCTTCTCATGCTCCTCACGTGTACTGGAGGTTCTACTGTAGCCCACAATGGACAATTGCCTCCAAAAATATCTTCCTAAACAATAAAAAATTTTTATTTTTATTTAATTCAATAATTAAATTTTACTTACCCAAAATAAATAAAATAAAATAGATGTTGCGTATCCAGTTAGCGCGGAGGCTAAGTACGTCAAAACTGGTATCCACTTCCATGGAGAATGAATTTCTTGAGAAACTCTTTCTATCAATTCGTCATGTGTCACGAAAACTTCTAGATTAAGAGGCACTAAGCTTGAGTTACGGTTAGATTGATTTGCTTCTACATCAGACATTTTTTATTTAAACTCAACTGACATTCATTTAAAATTTTACAACAAAAATCACTGTCAATTGTTTCTTGCATTAAAAAAATAAATAAAGAGCTAAAATTAAATTCTTTTAAATTACCTACTTAAATTAATCTCTTTTTAACATAATTAAAAGCACTGACATTCATTAAAACATACACATTTACACTCTAAGAATAAATAAAATTGCTAGTAAAAAAATACGGCGTAGACACATGCAACACAAAATATCGATTCCTAAAAATAAAAAAAAAAAAATAAAATTAATTTTGTAAACTAAATAAAACAATAAACAATTGTAAATATTTTTACGTACATTGATAAAATTTCCATGGGCATAATCATCAGCTTCCGCGTCCCATAGACACCGGGTTCCTATTTTAACTCCAGCTCCTCTCTGTTCACCCAAGACTACATTTACAATGTACTTGTATTGTCGAAAATTTAATTCTAAAATATAAAAACATAAATTAAATTTTAATTAATTTATAACACTGAAATTAGCAATGAAAATTAAGTTAGTATATTTAATAATTTTGCAAAAAATAAATTATACCAAAAAATTGTTAATTTTAATATCATAAATTAGCAGACACTTGACAGTTTTTTAATTTTTAAAATAAATTTTTCTGGCTCTAATTTATAAGTCAAAAAAATTATCAGGATCTCTAAATTTTAGTATTATATAAATTTAAATTAATATTTTTATAAAAAAATACCTTTGACTTTATTTTTAATAATATCAGAAATTTCCTTGCCCCATTTATTGGCATCTTGAACGTTGTACACTTTCGATGACAATTGATCATGCAGCACATCATGAATTATTTCTTTCACTAACTGTGGTTTAAATCTAGAAAAAAGTTATGAAAATTAAGTTAGCCGACATCTAAAAATTCTTTGAATTTTATTTATTGAAAAAATTATTACAAAAAAAAACTATATTTGCAATTTTTAAAAAATATTCTTCTGTTTTAATGTTATATTAATGAAAAAAAATTAAAAACGTCGGCTAATTTTAGTACTATAAAAAGTTAATTATCAATCATCAACAATAAACATCTAGGTTATGTTAATAAAATAATAAATAATAAATAATAAATAATGATTAATCAGCTGTCAATTAATAACTTACTTGTCAGCAAGCTGAGGACTGATTTGATACGAAGCAGGATTTTGTTGATCGTCATTCAGTAACTCATTATCGTTTTTATTTTTTAACAATTTGTCTGACGAGTTTTCACTATCCCGGGTTACTGTCATTTTTGATTTATTGCTAGTCTGGCTCATAATTAATTATTTACATTAATTATTTTAATACTCCTTTTTACTTGCAGTAAAACTGTCAGTTTATTATTTTTTAATACACTTATTTTTTATTTGGAGAACATTGATCTTTTGTTGACAAACAGTTTCTATTTCACTCGGCTTTGTTGCTAATATGACACTATAGCCACACTTACTATAAGAATTCTTGTACACACTTATATTCAATTTGTATCGAAATTGTATCCCATAATAAAATTGAGATGAAATGTATGTGGCATCAAACTATTCGCAACGTGATTGGTCGAATATATCATAAGCATGAAAATATATGCAAAGTCTATAGTCAGACGCGCGCTTGCGCGCGTAAATTTGAATTCTAGTTTATAATAAAATAGAGATGAAATGTATGTGGCATCAAACTATTCGTAACGTGATTGGTCGAAAATAAATATTCTCATTCTGATAGGTTGAAAGTGAATATACTATACATAAAGCGACACATAAATATATCATGGCGCTTGTGCGCGAAAATTAAATTCTAGTCCTAATGTAAAATTGAGATGAAATGTATGTGGCATCAAACTATTCGTAACGTTATTGGTCAAATATATCATAAGCATGAAAATATATGCAAACTCTATAGTCAAGGCGCGCGCTTGCGCGCGTAAATTCAGATTCTAGTCCCATAATAAAATTGAGATGAAATGTATGTGAAACCAATTTATTCGTAATGTGATTGGTTGAAAATATTTATTCTCATTCTGATTGGTTGAAAGTTAATATAATATACATAAACGACACATAAATATATCATGACAATAAATATGACGCGCGCGCTTGCGCACGAAAATTAAATTCTAGTCCCATAATAAAATTGAGATGAAATGTATGTGAAACCAATTTATTCGTAATGTGATTGGTTGAAAATAAATATTCTCATTCTGATCCCATAATAAAATTGAGATGAAATGTATGTGAAACCAATTTATTCGTGATGTGATTGGTCGAAAATAAATATTCTCATTCTGATTGGTTGAAAGTGAATATACTATACATAAACGACAAATAAATATATCATGACAATAAATATGATGCGCGCGCTTGCGCGCGAAAATTAAATTCTAGTCCTAATATAAAATTGAGATGAAATATATGTGGCATCAAACTATTCGTAACGTGATTGGTTGAATATATCATAAGCATGAAAATATATGCAAACTCTATAGTTAGGCGCGCGCTTGCGCGCGAAAATTAAATTCTAGTCTACTCTTATAATTTAGATGAAAAATATGAAAATATATCATGTAAGCAAACTATTCGTAACTAATCAATCAATCATCTATTTAGGATATTTAGTAGTTTTTTCCTGCAATAAAAATATAAAAAATTTATTAAATTAACATAAAAATATTAAATTCTTTTTTAATAAAAAACAATGAAGAATTAATTTTGCAATTTTTTTTTATGAATATATAAATGGAATTTTTTCTCGGCGTAAATTTCACTCTAGAATAATTTAATCAATTAAAAATCACTTGAATAATTTTTTACAGTGTATTTATAATTAGTTTGAATGATAAATAATTGATTTAAATTTAAAATATAAAATATTTTATTTTTTCTTAATAAAAAAAGTATACAAATTTTTATATATAAATAAATTTTTTTTTTGTAATTTTATCAATAAATGCAATCTTCTTTTAATCCTGATACTTTTATTCCTGTTTACCGTAACAAACGGTAAAATTTTCTTTGTCAATAATTCGATACTGATAATTCTTGTAGGTCATGAAATCCAATTCCCGCATAGCACTGGAGTGATCGTAAATTTTTCTAATAACCGGTGGAAATGATGCAACATTTGCCGCCGTTGCAATTTCATCATAGTAAGCCCATTGGCGTTCCTTCATTTTAATAATATGTCTTATCTAAAAAAAAAAAAAAAAAGACAAGTTACACTTTTAGTAATAAAAAAACAATACAAAACAAAATACAAAAATGAAGAAATAAATTACTGGAATTCCTTGTTGAAGAAGCATGTTCTTTTCTTTTTCATAATCAGATTTCATTTTTTCAGAAGAAGGTAGCTTAATATGTCCATCAAGAATCCTTAAAATAAACTGAGACTGAATATGGAACATCGGGAAGGGTATTACTATTCCTGGCAAGCCCATAAAGAACAAATTTTTCGTATCTGCATGAACAAGGTGTTTGTAAATCGGCTCGACATGATTATCGTCTGTTTTTATTTTCACCTTGTCGGACATGAATGGGTAAGTGAACTTGTAGCCTAAAAGCAGATAATTTAAAAATATAGTTTTGGTTTGTAAATGAAGTTTTATTTTATAATAAATTATTTTTTAATTACCAGTGCAATAAATGAAGTCATCAACTTCAGCAGAAGTTCCGTCTCTGAAGTGAAAAGTTTTACCATCAATAAATTCAATACCCGCTCTTTGTTCGACGTTGTTCGCTATATTGGCTTTCAATCCTTCTGGTAAGTTATGACTTAAATAAATCTATAAAAATAATTATTAATTAATTCATTTTTTAATAAAATCTAATTTAAGAAGAATATAATAAAAGACAAAAAAAATATAAATAACTTAAGAAGAATATAAAAAACTTAAAAAAATTATAAATAAAAACCTTCTCAGCATATTTAGACATTTCAATAGCAATATCAATTCCAGACCAAGAAGCTCCGAGGATACAAACATTTCTTCCTTTGTAATTCTCCGGCAGTCGATATTGATGACTATGAATGCAAGTACCCTTGAAAGTACTTCTTCCTTTTATATTAGGAATATTTCCTACAGTATAGTGGCCATTACAGAGAACTACCGCATCAAATCTTGCGGTAGTTTCTTCCAGAGTGGCCATATTTTTATAGGTGACCAACCAAGTTGTCTGATCACTTAAAGTTACTGGTTCTACGTATTTCACCAGAGTATTTAGCTGAAAAATTGCACAATATTCATCAGTACTTGCTCTTAATTTATAAAGAGGAATAAATAAAAAAAAATACTTTGATATGAGGGAAGAGATTGAAATGCTGAGCGTAGTCTTGTAAGTATTGACGAATTACGGAGTGATGAACAAAAGACGGGCCATCCTCGTCTTTAAAAGGGAAATCCGGGATTTGCATAATTTCTTTAGGTAAATTTGTTCTAAAATAAACAATTATTAATATTTATATTTATTTACTTTAAAAATTTTTTTATTTTAAATAAATAATTAATGAAAGAATTATTAAGAAAAAAAAGTGATATTTCAGGATTAAAAATAAAAATGGAAGAAATGGAGGTATAAATACCTCAAATTTTTGTACATACTACTGTGTACAGGAAGACCATTTTTATCGACTTCAGTTTTGTCAGTATAAACCCAAGTACCTCCTACTTGGTCAGTTTGTTCAAATAACATAAGACTATAGTCTTCTGTTCTGGCTGATACATGTCTTGCGACAATTAATCCAGCAACACCCCCGCCGATTATTGCGACTCTTTTTTTATTACTTGGCATAATGAACTTTTAAATTTAAATTAAAATTCTTCAAGAAGAAATAAGGTAAGATTAAAAAAAATATTTTTTCTATAATTTGATGAAAAAAATGAAGTTAAAATTTTATTTGTTAAAAAGATATCTGGTCAACGTTTGAGTCAAGACTGAACGGATTGTTGAATTGCACCGGTTTAATTAACTTTTTCCCCACCATAATTATTTAAAATCTAACTAAATTTTTCCCTTCAAAAAAGTACCTTGTATTTTTTACCTTGAATTAATATTCAATCCATTATTTTTTATTTGTCAATAGTCAATACGTTTCAATTTAATCCAATTGATTTTATTTATTACAAATTTATTTATATTAATTTTTTCACTCTTAAGTCTTTGGGTTTATAAAAGTAAGCGAGTAGGTAGCCTTTTTTTTTTATCTCTACAAATTATATACTTATTATGTAAAATGTTGCACATAAGGCTTGAAGAAATTACACTGGTCTGATTTTCACTCGTTTCTCTGGTGGAAAAAATTCACTGAAAGAGGTAATTGCATTCACGTGAATTAGATATTACGCATACCGAGTCTTATGACTGTCATTACTCTTTCGTTAAAATAATAAATATTTTAACTTTGAATTTATTAAAAATTTTCTCATAGAATAATTAAATAAATTTCATAAGTTTTGGGAAAGAGTTTTAGTAAGAGCCAATGAATTATTTATACTAATTCATAAGTACAATTTACGTAGATTAAAATTATGAGTAAATTAATAGCGATTAAAAATTAGATGTAGTTGACATCTAAGCTGACATCCATCAAGGTCGCTTCAGACTCTAAACCCTTTCAATAATTATTTACAAAGGTCTTACATCAGATTGAAAATCTAGAAAATAAATAAATATTAATTATAATTGTTGAAATTACCTGGATCATCAATTTTTACTTAAAATTTTAAATTAAAATTCATAATAGAATAAGAATAAATTATGACTTGACCGTCAAAAAAATAATCGGTCAAGTGTTTAATAATTTTATTTTTCTTCACTTAAATTTTTTGGATTCAATATAATAATATTAAAAATAAAAATATATTGTATTTTCTTTATTATATGGGATGCACGTCACGTATTTTGTCAATGGGTATTTTTGTTTGAAGTATTTTTATCACAGAGTTCTGTACTCAGATAAAATCTTGTGGAACTGTGTTTACTATAAGTAGTACTATAGACTTAAAATTAAAAAAAAAATCTTTAACTCCAATAATAAAAATGTCTCAAGTGAAAAAAATTTTAATTATAATTTTAGTGTAAAGCTATAAAATTACGTGGAGTTTTTATGAATATAAAACGAACTACAATAATTTATTATGCATATAAAACAAAATGATAATTGGAGATAATTTATTAAACAATTCTTTGTAATAATCGGAGTTATTAGTTAATTTGCTGATAAATTGCACAATAGTAATAATTGATGAAAGAAGCTGTGTAAAAAATTTTATTGCAACTGATAATTTGAATGAATTAATTATTCATTTGTACTAATCTCTTATTCTTCATTATAAATATTATTACTTTTAATTAAATCAACAATGCTTCTATTAACGACTAAAATTATATTTTATTACTATGAATTATTGCAATTATTTATTTAAATATTCATTTTTTACATAAGCTACAACGCGTTAAAATTTATTTTACAAAAAATTAAATATAGTAGTAAAAAGTTTCTTTGCTCCGACGGTTGTTAAAATACTTAAAAATTTTTAATAAAATTAAAAATTATCGCAACAATTTCTTCTTTTATTGAAACTAAAAATTTTTTTTTATAAATTATTGGATTTTAATAAAGACTTTTAATTAGTCGGGTGATAAACTATCGTAAAAAAATTATATTGCCTTTGATATTGTTGTAAAAAGCTTAATATACATACTTATAGTAATATACGTAGTACTTACATATATGAACCCATTTTTATTACGTTTTATCAAATGTAATTTATATATGTTTCAATGAAGCGGCACAGGATTAGAGTAGTCTCAGAGCAGTAATCGCAGCAAGAGCATGAAGTGATTGACATCCTCTGGAAAATTACAAAATTTAGATTTCCATAACTAAAAATTATATAAAATAATTTATAAGTAGATAAAATAATAATTATTATTGTATTTGGTTTACCATAAAGTGATTAGTTGATTAAGAACAAAAAGAAGAATATAAATGTGTTTGTTTTTGATAAAGCGCGGATCAATTTGAACTAAAAAAATTGTGTCGCTATTAATTATTAAGATGATTAATTAAATACACAAAAAAAAAAATTTTTTTATAAATAAACAAATAGAAAAAAAATGGGTAAGGCATTTTAAAAAATTATTTATTAATTATAAATAACTTTTATGAAGATAAATATTATTATTGATAAAAAAAAATGAAAATATTAAATGTGTAATTAATTAGAAGGTAATTTATTGCGGTCACTGACCTAGTAAGACGCCAAAAATAATTTTATTTAATAATTTAAGTAAATAATTGTTATGAAAGAGATTTTTTTGGCAAGCCCGGTAAATAAATTACCGAGGTAAGAAAGAAAGAATATTTTTATTTATAGACTGATTAAAATGATAAATAAATAAATGATAATTAAGATTGGTAAAAGCTATAAATACATATCCGAGTCCCCTCGTGGTAATGTTTGGATAATTTACTATTTATTACTCGATTATTGATGCTTAGGCGCCCTTCACTCTAATCTATTCAATGAGATCACTGTGATACCCGGCTCTTCACGGTAATTGTCACTGTCAATATGGGGTCACAATAAAAAAATTCAGGTCAATTTTTTTCTTCTTTAAATCTTCACTCTTAAAATTAATAAATATAAATATTAAAGATTTATTTACATTGCTTCATTGCTTTATTTTTAATTATCTCATTTACGTACTATTTTTACCTGATAAAACTCGAAGATTATGTATTTACAGTGTTTAATTAGTATAAAGTTATATTTTTAAAAAATTTAATTATCACAGTCTCGACATTAACTTTGGCATCGTCATTGTCAAACACTCAATAAATTAAAAACATTATCCTCGAAGATTTTAAATGTCGTAATTATGTACGCAATGTTATTTCTAAATCTATTTAGATAAAATTCCTAAATGTTCATATTTTTATTCTATCGCTAATTTTTTATTAAGGTAGTTGTCGTAAATAAGGCATACCGTCAAAAAATTATTAATTTTTATGACACTGAAGTTAGAAGACGTGTAAAAATTTTTGATTTTTTTTATTAATTAAATTACAATTAAAAAAATATTTCTAAAAAATTGCACTTATAGTTTTTAAAGTTTTTTACATGTGACAATTTTTTTTTTTTTGATTGTTTAATTGAAATTTTTTATTAAAAAAATTTCTAAAAATTTTGAAATGTCGGCTAACTTCTATATTTTTATAATTTTTTTTTATACTTATTAATAATAATAATAGTCGGATTTTTGACAATATTATATCATGACAATTACCTTAATTACCTACCACTGTACGGATAAAAAAAATTGACTGTCTAATTAAATAATAAATATTTAAAAAACAATTATTTTTTTTTTCTTCCAGGCAAAGAATTTCTATCATGCAGAGACGTGCTCTGGATTCTAGTCTTTTGTGGTTTCGCCATAAATTATATGCTGCGAATAAACATGAATTTAGCAATTGTAGCGATGATAATCCCTCGAGCAAAGGCCGCTGCAGTGGCCCAGTGTTCAGCGGTTTATATCGTATCACCAGACCACTCGAGGAATAAATCGACTGATTTGTCGCTATTCTCTACATCGAGCATCGTTCCCAATTCTTCGGTAGTTAGAAATATCAATATTATTATTTAATATTAACATTATCTGAAGTATAATTCAATGTGCCAATTGTTCTAAATTTTAAATTAATAATAATACAATGAATGACATTAGGTAGAACAATTGTTTGATTGGGATGAGTACGATCAAGGTCTTGCTCTGGGTGCCTATTACTGGTTACACTGGTTGTCGCAATTGCCGGGTGGACTTCTCGCCCGGCGTTATGGCACCAAAACGGTGTTTGGTCTTGGAAATTTCGTCGTTGCAATACTTGGATTATCAATTCCTTTTGTTACTCACTATCATCTGTATGCTTTGGTAACAGTCAGGGTTTTGCAAGGATTAATTTCGGTAATTTTTTTTTTTTACTTATTCATAACAAACTCTCATCAATTCCTTCTTTTATATTTTAAAAAATTATTTATTATTTATTGTAATTAATAAAATAAATTGTTTGAGATTCTATCATTATTATTACTAATTATAAATTGATCAAAAAAAAAAAAAAAAAAAAAAAAAGACATTAAAATTAGCAGACTTGAAAATTTTTTTGAAAAATCAACAAAAATTTTTTTAAAGTTTCTAAAAATGAAATTTTTTTTGCTATAATTTATTTATTAAAAAAATTCTTAAAATTCTTAAAAAAAATAAAAATTAACTCACTTTTAATTTGTCAGGGTGTAATGTGGCCAGCTATGCATGACATGACTGCAAAATGGATTCCTCAAAATGAAAGAAGTAAATTTGTCAGTGCTTACATGGGTAATTAATAATTATAATTTATACAAAATTAATTACAGCAAATTACAAAAAACAAAAATAATAATTCTAATCTTTATCTTTAAACTCAGGTAGTTCAATCGGAGCAGCTATTACTTACCCGCTTTGCGCTCTAATAATTAATTTGTTCAACTGGGAAGCTGCTTTCTACATAACATCTCTTCTTGCAATCATCTGGTACGGCTTCTGGTACTTTTTGGTCTTCGACTCCCCGAGTATCCACCCGAGGATCTCCCAGGCCGAGCAAAAATACATTCTGGAGCACACTGCGGGTACAGTGCAAACAAGTTCCAGAGAAAAAGTTCCTTGGAAGGAAATATTACTCTCCGGTCCTCTTTGGATCACCGCGATCGGCCATTGGGGAGGCGCTTGGGGTTTTCTAACTTTCATGACTCAGGCGCCATCTTATTTCAATTTTGTTCATGGCTGGAATCTAAAAGCCGTAAGTGCACAAAATTAATTAATTAATTTTCAATTATGAAGAAGATCATTTTTATATTACAGAAATCAGCTAACATCTGACAATTTTTTTGGTGTTTATTGTAAAGAAGAATATTTTTAAAAATTTCCAATTTTATTTTTTTTTTAATCTCTATATGGAATTTTTTTATTAAAAATTTTCTATAATAATTTACTCTCTATAAAAATCCAAAAAATTGATAAATGTCAGGCATTAAAATTAAATTCGACATCTAAAAATTTTTAGAATTTTTTTTATTAAAAAAAAAAAAATCATTTTTAAAAAACTATAAGTGCAATTTTTAAAAAATATCATTTAGTTCTAATTTAATAATTAAAAAAATTACTACATGTTAATTTTTTTTTCTTATTTTTTTTATGCAATAATTTATTTGTTAAAAAAAATTCATCCTTTTTGCAGACTGGATTATTTTCTGGACTTCCGCACATTTTACGGATGATAGTTTCGTATACTTACTCAATTTTCAGTGACTGGTTGCTCCGAACCAACAGAATGTCACTAAAAAACGTCAGAAAGCTAGCAAACTTGGTGACTTCAGGTGGAGGAGCTATTTTAACCCTCGGGTTAGCATTCAGCGGGTGTCAACCAACACTCGCGATATTCTTCATGATGACAGGTACAGCTGTCAATGGCGCAGTTTCTGCTGGTACTTTGGCAAATTTGGTCGACCTGAGTCCTAATTTCGCCAGTGTCTTGCTTGGACTCAGCGGACTCCTCACCGGGATCTCTGGGTTCATTTCTCCACTAGTTGTTGGTATCTTAACAAATCACAAGGTAACAATTAATTATAATCAATTAATAATTAATATCACTACAATTAATTGACATTAAAAATTTTTTTTAGTTTTATTACAAATAAATTTTTAAAAAAAAATATTGCACTGATAATTTTTCTATTTTTCTTGAACAATAATCTAGATCTAGAAAATTATTTGTAAAAAAATTGCAATTATTATTTTTTAGAGCTTTTAAAAATAGAATTTTTAAAATCAATTTTTCTTATAATTAATTTGTAAAAATAAATTATAAAAATTAAATAAAAAAATTTTTTAAAAAAGTTTCAAATCTAAAAATTAAAAAAAAATTTTAAGCATTTTTTTTTTTTAATAATTAATTAATAAAAATTAAAATAAATTGACAATTGTCAGCTTACTTTAATATCATTTAATTATTATACAAATTTTATCAATAAATTTTAAAGTTTTAAAAAGAAGAAATAAATTTTTTTGTCTTTACAGCAAACTGTAGAACAATGGCGGCTGGTTTTTATAATTGCGACGGCAAATTTAGCGATAAGCGCTATTGTTTACACACTTTGGGGTACTTCGGATGTCCAGCCGTGGAACGAGAGTAAAAAACCCGATCCTGATGAAGAAGAACTATCAAAATTAAAAGTTAAAATCAACGACGACCCCCGAGATACTGATAATTTAAAAATAAATAATTTTAATTGTAAAGCAAAAGAAGAAAAAAAATCAATGGCCTAAGAATAAAAATATAAATATAAATATGTAAAAAAATAATAACAAAAAACTTAATTAATGTATAGTAGGAAATAGTCGCGCGTTTGATAATAACGATTATTAAAATAAACAGCAATATATTTGTACAAAAGATTAAGAAAAAAAATAGCTGCTTGTTCAATGATTATTTTAGTGCCTGATGGTTATCACTGAAGAGACGGAAACTTTTCAATGTTTGCTTAATACATATGATTATTTCGTCTTGGTACAATTGACATTGTCGGCAATTATTTTATTTTTTTTTTTTTTTAGTAGCTATTTATAATTGTAAATAAATTATATTAAGTATTTGCATGGGTAATTAAATAAAAGATTAAACTTCACGCTTGGCTTAACGTTTATAAGCTTCAGTGACGGGACTTGTCAAAATTAATGCCTAGGAAGGAAGTGATAAGAGTTTAAATTACTCAAGTACTGTCTTTACTTCCTCAGTTTGTTTTTAAATCAATCCGGTATCACCTCTAATTATTTTAAGTAATTAGTGTTCTGATTTTTTAAACTTTTTTAGTGTTATTTCTTCTTGAAAAAATAAAAAATGAATCTGTATGAAGCGACCGGTTGATTTATAGTGAAGAACAATTAAAAAGTTAAAATTAAAGTAGCTGATGATTACAGTGCGAGTTTATGTATAATATATTTATTAGACTGTCACATTGAATTACTGTTTCGACTGGCGCATCGGGAAGTTCTTATCAATTCTCCCATTTCACTTGTTGTCTTTTTCTGGTGTGCTAATTGGATGCTACACCTCGAGGGATGTCTCAGAGTTATTAAATCACTCGTCTGAGTAACTTGTTATTTTATTAACAAATTTATTTTATTTATTTTATGGAGTAAAAAATTTAATTTGCCTTATATATATATATTTCTTCTTTTTAAAATATCTTCTCAATCATACAAACATGATAGGAGGTAAGTTTTTTTATTATTTATTAAATTGATAATTTATATTATTAAGAGAATAAGCAAAATTTCGTGGCCAGTGTATTTAGGCTGCATTCGAAAATGTTCTATCTCTAGATACATAATTAAGAAATGACTTTGTATCTTGTGAACTATTGACATTTTTAAAGATATAAGCTCATCCCAATGTTACGCTCATCGAAACCTTTCATTTAAGTACCCACATCAATTTTTCATATATTTATATATATATGATATATATGTATATATGAAAAATATATCAAAATGCATGTGGGTACTCAAATGAAAGGTCTTGATGAGTGTAACATCGAGATGAGCTTATATCTTAAAAAATGTCAATAATTAAGAACTGACTTTGTTATCTTGTCAACTAATGATATTTTTAAAGATATAAGCTCATCTCGATGTTACACTTATCAAGACCTTTCTTTTGAATACCCACATCAATTTTTCATATATTTTATATATTTATATATATTATAAATATGTATATATGAAAAATATATCAAAAATGCATGTGGGTACTGAAATGAAAGCTCTTGATGAGTGTAACATCGGGATGAGCTTATATTTTAAAAAATGTCAATAATTAAGAACTGACTTTGAGTACCCACATGAAATTTTTATATATTTATATATATTATAAATATGTATATATGAAAAATATATCAAAAATGCATGTGGGTACTGAAATGAAAGCTCTTGATGAGTGTAACATCGGGATGAGCTTATATTTTAAAAAATGTCAATAATTAAGAACTGACTTTGCTATCTTGTCAACTAATGATATTTTTGAAGATATAAGCTCATCTCGATGTTACACTCATCAAGACCTTTCTTTTGAATACCCACATCAATCTTTCATATATTTCATATATTTATATATATTATATATATGTATATATGAAAAATATATCAAAAACGCATGTGGGTACTCAAATGAAAGCTCTTGATGAGTGTGACATCGGGATGAGCTTATATCTTTAAAAACGTCACATGTTCACAAGTTATGGCAGTCACATAGTGACTGCAAGGTTGCTAGTTTATATTCATCAACATTCTTGACTCCATAATATTTATCTGTCATTACTGAGTCTAAAAAATGAAAAAAAAAATTTCTTAATTACCTTATCATCTTTATTATCAACACGATATAAATTTTGACAGTAATTTCTTAATCATCGAATTATTAATAAAAATAATCTTCGATCTCTCAATCTTTATCAAATGTCATCTTTATATCAGTAAAAGACAGTAAATAAAAATAATAAATTTTCAATTCCAGGCAAAGAATTGCTGTCATGTCGCCAAACGCTTTGGCTTCTTGTCTTCACAGGATGCATTATAAATTACATGTTGAAGTTCAGCTTGAATTTAGTGATAGTTGCGATGGTGGTACCTAGAGCAAAGTCACCAACTACTTCCCAGTGTACTTCTGGAAACTTATCCAGTTTCACTCCTAATGTCACCATAGAAAATCCTCTACTCAGCCAAAATATCTCGGTAAGAATCCAGCTAAAAATAGAAAAGAAATAATAAAACTAATATTAATAAAAAAATAAATATTTAGTATACAGACAGATTCAATTGGACAGAGTATGAGCAAGGAATGGTGCTTGGAGCCTTCTTCTGGACTTACTGGGCCACTCATGTCCTCGGAGGTCTACTAGCGCAACATTACGGGACCAAATTGATCTTCGGAGGCGCTAACTTCATTGCTTGTATCATCGTAGTTCTTATTCCAGTGACGATAAAGTATCATCTTTATGCGTTTTTGGCTCTAAGAGTTCTTCAGGGTGCTGTTATGGTAAATAAAAAAATTATTTAATTACACTCAAGTTAGCTAACAAATTAATTATTTAAATTCTTGTAAAAAATCAATTACAACAATAAAAATTTAATTAATAATTTTTTTTTAATTTTCACATGTAGAATTTTTATGAAGATTAATTCAGGGGGTATTTTATAATTTTTGTAACAAAATAAATTATGGGAAAAAAAATTGACTTGGAGAAAGAAGAAAAATTTTTAATTTGAATATTTTAAAAATAATTTTTCAGAATAAATTTATTTGTTAATTAAAATTAAAGAATAGTCGACTGCTTAATTTAATGTCATGGAATTTTTTGATAAAATTTTTTATGACACTGAAATGGAGAAACTTCTTATAATTTTTTTAATAAATAAATGATGGAAAAAAAAATTGACTTGAAAAAATAAAAAAAATTGAAATTTCAATTTTTTAAAAATAATTTTTTAGAATAAATTAAAATTAAAGAATAGTCAAGTGACTGTTTAATTTAATGTCATGGAATTTTTTAATAAAATTTTTAATAAAATGATACTGAAATTTTTTTAACAAATAATTGTACAGCAAAAAAAAAATTTATTTAAAAAATTCTAACTTTAGAATTTCTAAAAAATTTCAATTTATTTAAAAAAAAAAAAAAAATTCTCAAATGTCTTCTTAATATTTTTTCATGTCAATTTAATTGCTACAAAATTATAAAAAAAAAAATTCTATTAAGTCTCTTAATTTAATTATCATCTTAAAAAATATAAAAAATGATTATTAATATTCTTCTTAATTAATAGGGAGTAGTGTTACCTTCAATGAACGTAATGACAGCAAAATGGATCCCTCCAACAGAGCGAAGTAAGTTCGTAAGTGCTTACATGGGCGGAACAGTTGGAACATCTCTTACGTACTTGATCTGCGCAATAATAATCCATTACTTCAACTGGGAGACAGCATTCTACACAATGTCAGTCGCTGGAACAATATGGTACTGCTTCTGGCTGTACTGCGCCTACGATTCGCCTCAGCAGCACCCGAGAATCAGCAAAGCCGAACTGAAGTACATTTTGGAGAACACGCCGCCTATCGTGAAGAACAGCAAGGAACAGCCGATTCCTTGGAGACATATCCTCACTTCAGGGCCCTTTTGGATCGCAGTTTTTTCTCATTGGGGAGCTACTTGGGGATTTTACACTTTGTTGACTCAGAGTCCCACTTACTTTAGCTTCATTCATGGCTGGGACATCAATATGGTAAGTATCAATAAGTTTTATTGTACTTCATAGCTTCTTTGACTGAAATAAAATTAATTATTTTAGACTGGATTAATAACAGGCGCTCCGCACATACCTTTGATGATATTTTCCTATACATTTGCTATTTTTTGCGATTGGCTGTTAAGAAACAATAAAATGACCCGCACTGGAGTGAGAAAACTCGCAATGTTCATCGCGACTATTCTTCAGGCTTGCTTCATTGTTGGACTCAGTCTCAGCGGGTGTCACTCTAACTTTGCAGTAGTCTTTATGCTTTGCGGGACTATCACAAACGGAGCAATTTCTTCGGCAACGCTCGCTAATTTTGTAGATCTTAGTCCGAATTACAGCAGTATTTTGTTTGGAATTTGCGGACTTATTGCAAATGGTGCTGGAGCGTTGTCACCTACTATTGTAGGCATTCTCACTAATGGAAATGTAAGTGAAGAAATTATCAACTTAATTAATTATTGATAACTAGCAACCTTGCAGTCACCATGTGACTGCTGTGACTTGTGAACTATAAAAAATTAAAATTTGGTTTATTAAATAATGACTTTTGTTAACTTGTACTGTATTTTCTTAAATATTGACGTTTTTAAAGATATAAGCTCATTCTGATGTTACACTCATCAAGAGCTTTCATTTGAGTACCCACATCAATTTTGCATATATTTATATATATCATATATATGTAT